TAGTCCTAATTCGTGGACTGGAACTTAATGGGAATGATATTAGAACTTCTAAATTGATTATGGCGTACGGTGGGTCAAAAGTTACTAGTTTGTGTCAAACAAAGGGGGAGAAGAAACCAGACTTTGAATATATTAACGTCACTTTTTTTCTCTTGTAACTTGCATACACTTAAATTAATAGGCTCGCACAAGTTGAATCAAATGATGCACTACAGCTCACCACGAACGAGTAAAAGAGCGTAAGAGAAACAAAATTGTTAGATTTGCCGTAATAATTAATTTGGCCAGCAATATTCTTTGGCAAAACTTGAAAGCTCTTTTCTCAGTCGGCCAAAAACCAATGGCCTACAGTGACGACTCGAGCGTGGATGGTGTTAAAGCTTTGTTAGCTGGCAATTATTGTAACTTGAAGATTTGAAAAGTATAATTAAGTGACGTTTTGTCCAGTTGGGATTTGTCGTTTCCCTCTCTGGTGAAAGGAGCTGCAAAAGCCATGCCTTAAGACTATCAACATGAATCCCCCTTTCCTTGGATACAAATCTGATGTTTTGGCTAGAATTATTTTTGGGTTAATTGCATAAATGGTCTCTTACTTTTGCACTTCTTTAAAAAAATTTACATTTATTTTTCTTTCTACTATATTTTGAATATCTCTTACACTTTTGTTCTAACATGTCTTTTTACTGTATTTACAGTTTTAATAATGTCTTTTTAACAACCTGGTAACCTGTTGATCCTAGCCCGGCTGTTATGTAACCTACACAACACATAGCCTATTGACTCGCCACCCGATGAACCCATATCTCAAATAATTTACAACCCAAGAAACTCGAACCCGACTAATTCACAACTTAATTGAACCAACCCCAATTGACACCTCTAATACCAATACATGAAAATTAGTAAAATATACAAAAATTACTACTAGTACCAGAACACAAAATCATTAGCAATACACGAGAGCCACTACCAATAACGTATCTTTGCCATTACTAGTACTGCTACAAAAATAAAACAAAAATTAAAACCATTACCAATTGATAAAAGTCAATACCAATATCCCAAAACCCATATCTCAAAAACAAAAACCACTATAAAATCAATACCATAATAAAAAAAGCTATATTTCTGTTTCGGAGTGAGATATAACCAATACAAGAAACAAAATCAATACTAATAAACCAATTTCAACAGCAATTAGGTTCATTTGATTGGAAGGTTAGAATGAATCCAACAATTTTTAACGTTGTAAATGAAACCAAATGAAACCATATGAATCAACCCGGTTTAACTGGTCACTGGTTTACAATTTTAACCACACAAAATTAAGGGGGAAAATGCTTTAACATAAACTAAGTTCATCCAGCCTCAATCACTAACTATATTTATGCTTTAATTTTTACTATTTTTCAATCTCCTTGTGAGTTTTATGTGGTCCACTACGGATTGTCACCCTTATTACTGAATTGAATTTTATTAAAAAAAAATCGTGGACGGTTTGTAGGCTCGTGAATGAATGGTGAATAGGCTAATTATCATGTTGTAAACCCAATGGTGAATAGGCTAATTATCATGTTGTAAACCCAAAGTAGATTGCAACATATGTTACTATAATCCCTATTATGGGCATCAATAATAATTGAGTCAAATCCCCCCATCGTTCAAAATCTCAAGCCCTCAATCCTATTTTGTTTTGAAGTAAGCTTGTAACACCTTAGAAAAAATCTCACATCGATAAAACACGTGAGAGATCCATGGTTCATAAGTAGAAAATCGGCCTTAACTAACAAGACGTGTTTTGAGGTGAAATGTAAGAGTTCTTATAAGAACTCCAAAGTTAAACGTACTCAATGTGGAGTACAACAAGGATGAGTAACCTTATTGGAAGTCACCTTGAATTACACCCCAAGTCGAAATCGATAAGGATCGAGGTCCAAAACGGACAATATTTTACTTAGATAAAGGTTTGGAATGTCACAAAGCTTCCTGTTATTTTCATTTTTTTCAGGTAGCCAGTCTTGTTCTTGCCCTTTAATGACTTCACGACTGGTTCTGCCCGGCCGGCGGCCGCCACACCAATAGGGAAAATGACCTCTATTCCCGTGCATGTTTGTTTGATACTAACGAGCCAAAATCAAGGTTTGAAAACGGAATTCTTCCGAGTGATGAGTTTCATGGAAAAGGAAGGATCGCTAATTTGGAAGGAAGTGTCCAATGTCGGCACAAACGTAGGGTTGGTTGGCTCTAGCTCGGCCGTGTGCTGCATTGAACAACCCCTTAAGTCCATTTCCTTCCCCTTTTTTTCTTTTCTTTCCATTTTTCGTTTTCAGGGATATTAATTATTTTCCACATATTATTTTCTTCATCTAACACATCGTTAGGTCTCCTCTTGAGTCAGTCCCAAACCACTCAAAAGCATATTCTTTTTGGGTGGCTCTCTAATTTTCTGTTTCCATTACCCACGGACCATAGAGTGGGGTTTTGGTTAACAACTATATGTTGTTGTGACAACCCCCACCATTCTACTTAATTTTTTCTTTAGGAAAAAAAATTAGGTGTTTAAAAATTCGAATTAAAATGCAATCGCGTTTGGCGGTTGACTCATTCAACACCAAATACTCGACCGAGGTTACTGTTACGTGTATGGTCGTGCTAATAATAGAGATTTTGCATTTTGTGGTTAATTTTGACAGATTATACTAGAGCATGCATTTTAGTAGGTTAATTTTACCATCCGACTACTTTGTGTCTCTATGACACTTAATAGGAGAACACATTTTTTGGTTACTTTGTAACTCCTTAGGGTAAAATGAGTTTGGAGATGAAACTCACAAATTAGTTCGATGGATGGAGACGGGATCACACGTCCCATTTTATATTAAGAAAACTATGTAGGAGTTTCTCTATGATGCATTCCGTATTTCGAATAGGTAGGAGTTTTAAAGTTATTTTTAGTGATATATAACGTACACATCTTTGTAAATTTGCAAACCTGACATGAAACATTCAAATATGCACATTTTTTAGGGTTTTTTTTTTTCTTTCTAGAGGGAAAGAAGTTGTCTGTTACCTCCCCTAAAATGTAATAAGCCTAAGCTAAACCGCGGAGCTGGCCTTCTGGGAGTACGATACGCATAAGTTACTTAGGTCACTATTGAGTTCAATTTTTCTTTTAGTGTGCATACGAATATACAGATTTGGATTCAGTATTTGCAATTTAGAATTTCAAATACTAAACTATTCTATTAAATACTAAGTAGATATGGTATTTTGATCGTTCTACTTAGTATTCAAATAATAAATTATTCTATTGAATGCTAAATTATTATAGTATATTCCTTGTAAATTTCAAATACACATTAACATGTACTAAAATAAGATTGTATTAAGCACACTGGATCAAAATATCGATGCTCTCAAAAACTTGGACAAAGTCCATCAGCGACATGAAATAAACTGAATAGTTCGGAACTGAAATATAATTTTACAGCAACAAATTTGAACCTATTTGTACGAAAATTAAAATTTAGGTACTAAATTGTGCAAAATATAAGTTATACCGAACTGTAATTTTCCAAAATCGTAATGATTGGCTATTAAACTTCAAATAAAAAATCTTTAAAAAAAACGTTTCAAACAAATACTCAAACAATAAATTTGAATTACATATGTTTCCGATACAAATATATAAACTTATATTTGAAAAATATGTAAGAGAGTTATATGACCCATAATTAGTCTTCTCCCAAGTATCAACAACTAGAATTACCGGAACTAAGTGATTTATGATATGGTATCAGAGTTGGTTTGGTCGTGCACTCGAATCTTCATAACTCTCAATATCAACAATTGATTAAAACACAAGGTATGATGGGCCTATGCAAACTTCAACCCCCCTTGAGTCAGCTTTTGTTTGAAGGGGCGTGTAAGAGAGTGTTAAATGATGCATAATTAACATTCTCCTAACAATTCGAGTTATTGGGATCAACAGGTTATTGACATGATATCATAACCTTTTGTGACTGAGAGGTATTCTGTTCGAATCATGGTGACCACATTGTTAAACACATGGTATTCGAATCTTTGCAAACTTCAAACTCAAGTATGATGAGTTTCATTTGAGGGGGTTTGTTAGTAAGTTGTACATAATCCATAACTAAAACTCTCCCAACAAATCAAATTATTGAAATCAGCATATCCATAACATAATTAACATTTTCTTAACAACTCAAGTGATTGAGAGTAATGGATGCATGAAAGTATACATATTCTTATCATTATCTATATATAAATTGACAATGGTAGCCTACGCAGAGAGGTAGTAGAGAGCCGTAGCCATTCGTTCTTAGTCGTAGGTGCCTGGGGAAAGGGGGCAGATTCGTGGACAAAGCTGGATTATAGAAATGTTGCATTATTGATGCATTAATGTGATTCCAGCGTCTGAAATGGATGGTTTAACAAATTGCGATTCATGGAATCGATGCAGCTTATTATATAATCAAAGATTATATTGTTTATTATGTTTAATAATTAGGATATTGTTGTCAAGAAAGAAAAATTAGGATATGTCTCATTTCTATACAGTATATGGATTAATTTACAATTAAAAGCCTTTACTTTATTAAGTATCTTCCAACACCAGAAAAATATGAAAAAAGAGAAGTGGGGAATTGTTTTCTAACACCCACCAGATGAATTTTTTATTTATAACTTTACAATATTTTAAAAAGGATGAGTTTAGTGTGTACCCCTATTTTTGTGTGTATAGTATATCACTACATATACACCAACACTCACAATTGTACTTTAATAATCAATTTATAAATTTTAAACAGTTGGCATATGATTAATATGATGACATGTTCTAGAATTGCATCTAATCCATTCATTTACTCATGTATTTGCCCTTATAATCATATTTTAAAATTTGTCTTTATTTTCGTCGTCCTACCCGTAGGTTCGGGGTATTCACGTTTGGCATATGCCTACTCTGACATATAATCTTTGGATATGATTCCGTATTACAATTTGGCGGTGGAACTTTAGGTCACCCTTGGGGAAATGCACCTAGTGCCGTAGCTAATCGAGTAGTTCTACAAGCTCGTAATGAGGGACACGATCTTGCTCGTGAGGGTAATGAAATTATTCGTGAGGCTAGCAAATGGGTCCTGAATTGGCTGCTGCTTGTGAAGTATGGAAGAAAATTAAATTTGAATACGCTGCAATGGATACCTTGTAAGCAATTTTCACACATCTAAACATACAAGTAAATGCTAATTGATTTTCTCGTAAATTCTCACATTTTCTTGTTAATTTTTATACAAGTGCATTATGTGATAATTTTGAGACAACTTGAATGACAAAAAATAACGATTTTACGAACTACTATAGCCTATACACAAAAAAGCACACATAAGATCAGTACTTGTAAAATCGTACCGTACCGGGATTCCGCCTAAAAAAGAGGCTACTAGAGCTCAAATCGGTTGGTAGTTTTATCGGTATAAAAAGTTAAATTATGATTTAAGTACAAAATAACATACCATTAATTTTTCTGGCACACCTTACCCCATTGTTTTTATGTGATTCCCGGTTGCCCACATAGAAGAGAAGATCCGGCCAGGAATTGTCAAATTCGCCAACTGAGTATTCAAGCAATCAGACCAGGGAATATGTCCAGGAGCACCCCCGTGCAGAAGAAGGAAATACTCGATCAGGATTTTGGTCCTGCCGCTTTTTGTTATCTTTTTCGTTTAGAATTATTTTCTTTTTTTGGTATTTTCATTAAATTTATTTTCCATACCTATTTAAAGGGTTGTAAGCCACAAATTTGAAGAGATTATTCAGACTTTGATAACGGAAAAACCTTTTTCGGTTCATTGAGTTTTTACTCGTGAATTTTGTCCTTGTTTGTTGGTGGATCTCCAGCATTTAAGCGAGCTCTGTATCAGTAAAGTATTCCCCTTGATTGTGGTCGAGTTGCTACCCCTATATTGTTCGAGCCTCTTCCGGTTTTGTGTTGAAGTTGCACGACAATTCCGCCCTATCCTTTACTTTTCGAGTTGTTGAGAGAAAAATTCAGAAAATCCGTAAAGAGATCGAAGTTGCGCGACTTTGACAGAAGAACCTAAGCTTTCACGAGCTCAGGATCTTATCAGGTGGTATCAGAGCCTCGTTCAGACTCAGCGGCAAGAGGTATTGTTCTTTTGTTGTTACTGTTCACGTAAAGGGAAAAAAATATTTTTAGTGATTCTGGGACTGTTCACGTGAAGAAAAAAAATTGTTCATCGACCACAAAGATGAATATGGGTTGAAAGCGAAAAATAATATAAATATCTTGGCTTTTGGTTTGTGTATTTCTGGTTTAAATCAGTGACAAGGAGAAGGAGATCATAAGCTATGTTTCAAGCCATGATTGACCTGAAGTATATGACAGACATGAATGAGTTTGTCGAAGGCAGGACGAAGCTATTTGACACATGTCTTTGGAAGGATATGCAAAAAAACATTAGCTACCCTAGTTAAAGCAACGACCGTATGCGATAATGAAGATGGAGAGTTCTACGAGCTAATCATGGTAGAAAAGGAGTAGCTGATCTATCGCGATCCTTTTTATGATGATTTTTCTTGCAAAATTTCCCAAGCTTTGAGGTCTGTCACTGCTAAACAAAGAACAACGATCGCCGAATTTGCAGAATGGGCACGAGGTTTTTATGGAGAGGAGCAGGGGCGTGACGTTCATCTTTCTGCGGATGATTGTCTTTTCTATTAGTGGAAGTACACGAAGAAGAGACAAGAAGATGGTGAACCCAACTGTAGGCAGTGGCATAGTCAGACTTTGGATGGACCGGGATCCTTAAAATTTGTGAATTGATTGGGTCCTTACATGAGATGGTATCGACGGAAGTACGAGGTCTTATATTTCAAGAATCATACTAAAACACATATATTTAAATGGTTTTAGTACCCAATTTTTCGTTAAGTGGGGTCCTAGGACCCCTCTCCTCAAGCTTTCCTTCCATCACTGACTGTAGGACTCTAGACAATTTCGTTTGGAAGTCAGGCTGGAAAGTTTTGAGGACAAAACTTCTGCAACGGGGAGGGACTGATGTGATTCCCGACCGCCCACATAGAAGTAGGAATGGCAATGGGGCAGGTCCAGGGCGGGTTTCTTGGTACCCAGACCCGCCCCGTGGCAGGGCGGGTCCAGGGCGGGTAATTGATCACGGGTCGCGGGTCGGGGCAGGTCGACCCAATGGGTATGCAATTTATATGAAAAACATTAGAAATATTCGTTATTTTTATTATAAGACTAAGAAAACAAACAATATTATGACAATTGTCGTTAAATTATTGGAGAAATTGAGGTTTTCACTAATTTACAACTTTATTATAGCTAAAATATGATGCAATAAAAGGAAAATTCAAAGTAATTTGACTAAGATTACATGTAATTTAGACAAGAACGGGTCGAGAATGGGGCGGGTCAGGGCAGGTCGGGTCGATGAGACTACCCATGCCCGCCCCGCCCCGCCTACGGGGCGGGTCCGACCCGCCCCAGAACAGGTCAAACAGGTCGGGTAAAACGGGTCAGGTCGAAATTGCCATCCCTACATAGAAGAAAAGACTAGGCCAGGAATTGTCAAATTTCCCTATTTGGTATTCAATCAATTGCACCGGGGAATAGGTCCAGGAGCACCCCCCGTGCAGAAGGAGAAAATACCCGACCGGGTATTTTGACTAGGTTTTTGGTCCTGCCGATTTTTGTTACCTTTTTCGTTTAGAATTCTTTTCATTTTTGGTGTTTTCATTAGATTTATTTTCCATACATATTTTAAGGGTTTTAAGCCACAAATTTGAAGAGATTATTCAGATTTTGATAATGGAAAACCCTTTTTAGGTTCATTGAGTTTTTACTCGTGAATTTTGTCCTTGTTTGTTGGTGGATCTCCAGCATTCGAGCGAGCTGTGTACCAGTCAGGTATTCCCCTCGATTATGGTCGAGTTGCTACCCTTATATTGTTCGAGCCTCTTCCCGATTTGTGTTGAAGTTGCACTACAATTCCGCCATATCCTTTACTTTTCGAGTTGTTGAGAGAAAAATTCAGAAAACCCCTATAGAGATAGAAGATGCGCGACTTTGTCAGAAGAACCTAAACTTTTACGAGCTTGTTACAACCCTGCATTTGTACTTACCGAATTGAAACATATGTATATTAATATATATAAATCAAGGTCTCAGTTACTGTTCGCTAAGCCACTATTACTAGCCTTCTTAGTTCTCACAATCCTCTCATAATTGTTTGGGCTTAAGCCCGTGGGGCTGGTTTTGCAATGCCAAGGTATATATATCAGCTTGAGATAACGAACTTGGTTTTCACCACCATTGAATAAAAACCTTTTCCTCTTTTATATTTTCTGTTCAAAATGCATTTTTGTGTTTCTCTTTCAACATGGTTCTCCTTTTGAGAATGGTCATCAAAGCATGAAGACGAAGGAAGAATCGAGAATCTTCTAAATTGAGATGGTGCAAGGACCAAATAATGGGAAGATGAGTAAGGGAGCATAGTCACTAAACTCTATAGCTGTTACATTACTACATTATCTATTAATTTCATGTTGTCTATGTAAGTAAAGGTGTCATGGCCTAACATGACACAACTTTGTGCTTTCAGTGGTGCTCACTCCAAAAAAAAATAAAATAATACCATCTATCTACATGGATTAAAAAAAGTAATTTGTTGAGATATTAGGTCCTGGATTCAACAGAAATTGGAGTGAAAAAGCAATGAGTCTGGGATATTTCTGGTTAATTGACTAGCAGAGCAAGTTGTAACTAATAGAAGGAAAAAGTAGAACATTGGTGAGGAATAGCTCAAGGGGCAGTTTAAAAATGTCAGTATGGGTAACCATTGCATTTTGTCCATTAGGCAAGGTCACTGACATATCCTACCTCCTTACATCTAAGAAAGAATTGCATTGAACACACTATATGATCACTCGCATCAATGTCAAAAACCCATACATTATTACAATTTGAAGTTGCAGAATTTGAGAGTATATGGGTTTCCTCCTCTCGAAGGTATCTTCTTCGCAGTATTGACATTATCTAACCCTTCAAAACTTATGTTTTCTCCTCCCACTTCTTCGTTCTTCTTTTTGAGTTTCCAGCAATCCTGGATAACATGATTATCTTTCTTGTAGTTGTTAGAAACTGAAAGAATACTGGATAACTAATTCAATATAGCTTTCAAAGCTATTCATTCCCAACAGTATTATCTATAAGAAAATCCTCCAAATTGTTCTTCCTTTTGCCCTTTGTATTTGGATTGACCATACTGAGCTCTAGATGATGTAAGAGCAGCTGCAAGGGCAATTGCCTCTTCAGATTTGCTAGCATTTCCACTTGCCCCGTTAAACTGCCTTTCAAGTTGGATGACTGATCGATACACACTAACATGATAAAATAATGGGTCAAGCATTAACATATGATTCTTCACTTGTTAATATTTCTTGAAAGTCCCAGTAAAAATCTCATAACCTTCCCATGTTCCTGATACTTGATGATAGTCTCATATGTTTTGGAAGCACAATTACAGTAAGGAATCAATAGGTTACTATCATGCTCATCCCACAAAAACTTTAAATTAGTGTAGTACTGTCTAATGGTTTGATTTCCCTGCTTGGCTAAGTTTATCTTCTCCTCCCAGTTAGCAATTCTCACAAAATTGCCTTGGTTAAACTTGGATCTAAGGAAATGCCAGGCCTTAGATGATACCTTAATATTTCTCAGAATAGGAACAATGTCCTACGAAACTGAATTTCGAATCCAACACAAAGTCGTCCCATTAACTCTATCCCAAGTGTCATAAGAAGAATCAGAAGCGTCGGGTACCTGAATCTTACCCAGGACAAAATCTAGTTTGTTCTTAGTACGTACTGCTACCTCCATGGACAAACTCCAGAGGAGGTAGTTGTCGTTGAGCTTGAATCCAATGACGGGAAAGAAAGAGTTTCTACTCTAGGTTGGATAAGGATTGTTGTAAGGGTCTTCATAACGAGGAATGGTCTCATTTACTCGTTTAGCTCCTTCTGTAATGGTGACATCACCCTTTCCAAACATTGTTATAGTCAAGTAGGCTGATGCAATGAGAAAACTTTAACCTAGTTGTAGTGATGCTTTCCGCCGACGTTTAGGGGATAAAATATTTTCAGGAACAAGTAAATCATAATTTTTTTTTCTATATTTCCATGTCTGAAACGTATCTTAATGCTGAAAAGCTGGATAGAGTGGCCTTTACGTAAGGATTATATTGCCCCCAATTTTTATGAAATACAAGATGCTCATTGAAATTCAATAATAAGAAACTAATTTTTGTTTTAAGAAGATGCTCTGTGGGAATTCAGTAGAGTGCCTTTTCCTTGGTGGGTTTTCATATATTTTCAGTTAACACTGTACATTAACATTAATGAAGAACTAACAATTAAATGAACCAATCTAATGATGTCAAGTGGCAAACTAAAATAAATCCATCTAACTAATCAAACTATAGCTATCTAACGTTGTTATGCTTTGCGTGGTGGAACTACTTAAGTCAAACACCGTCGGTCTGGATGTTCCTTGACTGGGTACCAACCAGAGTGAAAGAAAGCCCTGACAACTTTGGTTCTTCATCCTTCTGCAAAGTTCTCTCAATTCGTCCATGGTGTTTTTCAATCTATGCAGCAGCTGACATGCATTCATCCATCTCCATTCGCATCTTGATGGATAACATCCCTCATAAGTTAGTTGTGGTTACCATACAACAAGTTTCAACAACCTCCAGTTAAGATAAAAATGTCCATAAACTCAAGAAATGGTGGAGGGACAAACACATTTTCCTTATGGATTTTCCCAAAATTGTGCATGTGAAACATTGTGATGAACTTTCAGCTGAACTCAAAGACTACCAACTTGATGTATTATACTCTTGGTCATGAGTTGTATCATCGGGTCCCAAGATACAAAACGACAAAGGAAATCTAGGACAAACTTCAAACTGCACATAAAGGTACTACTCAAGTTAAAATCTCTAGCATTAATATGCTTAATCAAGAGTTTGAAATGTTTAACATGAAACCAGAAGAATCAATAATGGAGTTGAATGAACGAGTCACTACCATAACCAAAACTCTAAAGACCTTGGGAGTTTTGTATGAAGTGTTGATCTGGTGTGAAGTGTATTATTGGAACTTCCAAAGAAGTGGACACCAAAAGTGACAAAACTACACGAATCTAAAGTTCTAACAAGGCTTAATCGGGATGAGTTGATTGGCTCATTACTCACTCTTGAAGAAAATCAAAGAGGGAAGATGGTGAAGACAAGAAAGAGAGAAGAGGAATAGCTTTCTAAGCTGCTACTCAGATGGAGAGGGCAAAAGATTTAGAAGACATGGACGATAAAAAATTATCTATGCTAAGCAAACAAATCGGCATATTGCTTAGAATAAGAAAAGAAAAACAAAAAGGAAACTGCGTCAACAAAAACAAAGAAGTTGAAAAGGAAGTTTGAGAAACAAAATACACTCAGCCGAGATCATTCCAGAAAAGCAACAACCACAACCAAACAAGGTACAAACCTCTGCAGGATGCTTTAGATGTGAAAACCTCAGCACATCAAAAGCTGAATATCCTCAATCTAGTACAAAGAGAACGAGCCATACATGCAACATGGAGTTGTGGCAAAGAAGAAGACGAAGATGAAGACGAGAGGAGACAAAAGAAGAGAAGAATGCTACATGGCTATGATCCCAACTAGCTAGAAATGAGTTTCCTTCTTTTGCACTCTAGATAGTTAATTAATTAATTAAGCATGTGAATTAAAAGTACGTGCCATTTAGGTTCACATATAGCACAAGCACACACATATTGGTTCACATGAAATTGGCTACTCAACGCACAAATTTGCTACTACATTATCCCATCTATCTAGTCCTCAAGCACTTGCCCTACGTACATAAACATAACAATCAAACATCAGAAGAAGAAGAAGCAATCATCTCATCATGCACCATCATCCGATCCAGCACCACCCCGCTCTCAAGCGACCCATTACAAGACGCCGACGCCGACGCCGACGAAACGAAGGCCCCGTGTCCCGAACCAAATGCCCTGACGTGATCCTTGAGCGACCTCTTGTGCTTGAAGTCGGAGCCGCAGACGCACAGCCACCGCTTCCCGCAGTTCTTCTCGTGGGTCCGCCAGTCCCCTTTCACCGCCAGCAGCTTCCCGCACTTCCTGCACACGAACGGCTTCACCCCGTGCTTCCGCTTGTAGTGCGTCTGCAGCGTCCTGAAGTCCTTCAGCGGCTTCGCCCGCGGGTGCTCGACGTTGTTCTTGCACCCCGGGGAGCAGCAGTAGCACGGGACCCCCAGCATCACCCGCGCCGGCTGCGTCCCCTTCAGCGACTCCGGACCTTTCCTGTACTGCGACCCGTGGCCCCACATGTGCATCTGTCACAAAAAAAAAAAATGCTCAATTAGTACGCGATATAGTCCGCTTTGGGCCAAGCCCGCACAGATTTACCTTCGGAGTGTCCTCTCCAAAGGCCTCGTACTAATTGGCCTAGATGGACTATAATATACAAGGGCGTTCCTTCCTTCCCTTCTATTACCGATGTGGTACTCAGTGGCGTAGCCAGGATTTCATTCAAGGTGGGTCCGACGTGAAAATAAAAATATATGTGATAAATATAATTAATATTTACATGACCCACGATGTGTTTTTATAGTTTGTCGACCGATTTTCGTTTGAGGATGGAGAAATTTACCCTAAATTATAAATTAAAAAAATAAGAATAAACCATTAGAGATGTAGTTTTATGTAAAAATATGGAGTTAATTACATAATATGTAAGGTTAATATGTGGTATAAAGTTCTCTACAATATGTTAGTTGAAAAGTAGTGAACATGAGGGGTTTGATCTTAACATTAGGGGTTTCGTACAAATACTCTTATTTTTGTGTTTTAGGGGTCGTTTTGAAGTTGCGATTGTTTACGTGAGATTGTTACTTGTATTGTGAGATTGAATTTCGTATAAATACATATATTTAACAATCACAACTTCCGAACAAGCACTTAATCTCGAGCCCCGAACCCACCCTCTTCCAAACTAGCTCCGCCACTCGTACTTGGATTGTCCCACAACATCTTGTTCTGTTTTCCCCCACCAGCGGTAATGTTGATTCACAGGGTGCAATGAAAAAAGGAGGAAAAAAAAGACACGTGTAACCTGGAGATTGTTGTAACGGTTGAACGTTTTGAAGCAGACTTGGCAGGAGAAGTGGGTGAAGCCGACGAGGATCTGCTCGTGGGTCGGAATCCAGTACTGTGCGGACACGTCAGCATTTGGACCGCCATTCTTCGTGGGACGGACCGCGAGCTTGTCGTGATTCGGGTTATGGTCGGGGAGGCCGATCTGTAACGCCACCGTGGCGTTGTCCACGTCGTCGTACGACGTGGCGCCTACTGAAGACGACAATGGCGGCGCCACAGCATTGGCGGGGAAAAGATCGAGGGGTTTAATGTCGTTGGTGTGTTTAGTGGTGGAAGAGGAAGAAGAAGAAGAGGAAGATGAGGGTGAGGAAGTGGAGCCCAAGGAGCATGAATACATGCAGGAGGAGATGACATATTCTGAAGGCTCCATTGTTGATCTCTGTTGTTTAAGTGTAGGTTTTTTGAAGGGTAGCTTTGTTTTTATAGTGGGAGGAAGGGGGGGAAAAAAACTAACTGCATGGCTGAGGGATGGAGAATGAAAGTCACTGAATTAAAAGTGTGTGGTTGAGTGACAACAACCCTTGGTTGTGGAGGAAGGGCTCATAAAGCGGTTCTGTGGGTTTAGGTTGGCCGCATTAGGAAAGGAAAAGCGAAGGGACTTAAATGTTTCAGTGGGAGGGCTGAATTTGGAATGAGTTGCAGTGCAGAAGGATTTTTTCATAACAGCAAACAGCAAGAAAGAAGGGAAAAAGATCTAAGGGCCTCTGGGTTCACGTACGTACGTGTAGAGTTAATGAGAGAGAGAGAGAGATAGAGAGAGTCAACACATGTGTGTACACGGTGCATTTACCTTTGGCAGATTGAAGTTAGGGGGAGGGAGGTGTTTGGTAGTTAACATTTTCGATCCGAAAGTCATAATTCGTGAGTTTGAATTTTGCATAGACTCATAATATTATGTGTTTCTAGAGACAACAGTTAATGTTTCATGAATTTGAATTTTGCACAGACTCATCATTATATATATTATGTGTTTTAGAGACAACAGTTAATATATCGGGGTTATATGAACTTGAACATGTGACCTCATAAAACAAAACCGTTGTGATGTCATGTCATAAATCAACTGATTCTAATAACTTGAATTGTCGAATGTCGAGTGAGGTTCATATATGGTACTTAACTACTCTCAGAGAATCTCATCATCCAGTGCTTATTGGAGATACAGCTACAGGTTACATGAAGGAAGCTGATCCTTCTCCTAATACACTGTGGATTCCTAATGTGGTGACGTTTCCCTCAGAAGCAATGGAGGAGCTAAGTTGAGCGCTGACATTTTATTGTGTGTTGGAGATTTTCGTTTTCACTGTACATATTATAGTTATCTTTCTTTTATTGGTAGATAGTTTTTTGTTCGTTTGTTACTGTTGTCTTATGGTAACTTTGTACAGCAGAGTCTCCTTCTTGGAGAAGTTTATGGAATGAATAAAAGGGCCTTGAGCCACCAAAAGATCCCTTGCGGGTTCTTTCACAATACCACTGTTGTTTTCTCACATGGTATCAGAGTCTGATTCTCATCTGATTCTCAGAACTAGAGTTTTGTCTTTCGTCATACCCGCATTCTTTCCTCTACCTACTTTTCTTTGTCGTCTTTCCTTCTTTAACCATGGCGACTGAAGCATCTACAATTTCCAACTCATGTTCCACTGTGGTTACCACTCCTCTCACTACAATTACAAACCTCTTTTACATCAACCCTAATGAAGCCTTGAGCTTCCCAATCAAGCTCACAGGGACTGCAAATTCCGGGTTCGGATACTATAACAACACCTCCTTTGTTGTTATAGTAACAACAAGGGTAAAAGGGTCCATTAACACAATATTTAACAAATAAAAGAATCAATATTCAGCGACTACGACCGCATCCTCTCCTTCCGCCCGGACTCCAGCCAGGCCAAGGTCCTCGGCTACAACTACGCCGCCATCGGCTTCGCCTCCTACGGCACCTACTGGCGGGACATGAAGAAGATGGTCATGACCGAGCTCCTCTCCGTCAACCGCATCAAGGCCCTCCGCCACGTCCAGATCTCCGAGGTCGACTTCCTCATCGCCGATCTCTACCACCAGAGCAAGGCCGGATCGATCGCCATCACCGAGGCTCTCCAGGGGTACGTCCTCAACATAATCACCAGGATGGTTGCCGGGAAGAGGTATTTCGTCAAGACCAACCACCACCGGGCCGTCTCCGGCGGGAGGCCCATCGGCCAGGTGATGAGGGAGTTCATGCTCGTCACCGGAACCCTCGTCCCGTCCGATTTGATCCCTTTGCTCGGCTGGTTCGGCTTCCAAGGGGTGGTCAACACCATGAAGCGGGTCTCCAAGGAGCTGGACGTCATCATGGAGAGCTGGATCGACGAGCACAAGAAGAAGAAAAAGAAGCAGTTGGCCAATCCCGACCTCATCGACGTCATGCTCTCCGAAATCAAGGACGAAGTCACCTACGGTCACAAGCGTGAGGATATCATCAAGGCCACCGCTATGGTAATTAATTAATATATAGAGATGAATTTCGTTATTATGGCGTCTAGCTGCTACTGATAAACGTTTTGTTCTCTTCCAGTCTCTGATCGTGGCCGGCTCCGACACAACGTCGATCACGCTGACGTGGATCCGGATGGCTTGTTGTAACTAAACTTCAGTCCTCTGCTAGAAGGCCCCAGTTGGTTGCAGTGGTCGTGAAAGCTGCTTATAGGTCTTGCCAAGCATGCATCCCAACGGTCGCTTTCGGGCATGGTTTCTGCAACCGTGTACATCCTTTTGGCATCTGTAAATGCTTGATAATTGACTACTTCCCCTGACTTGGTTATGCACAGAACAGCTACTTCAGCACCTGCAGTTTTTTAAACAAGGTTCAAAGATCAGCAGCTGCATCTCCCAAGTGTGAACGAATTGCAGTGAAGAAGATACAACTAACTAACTCTATATGGTTCTCTTCAAGTGCCGGCCAAAACCTATTCTTTCTTTCGGCCAAATGACTGACAAGTAGCAAGCAAAGGGAGATGGGAAAGAGTTCAGCTGTTAAAGCCATGTATGCAAAGCAAACAACGAGAATCTTTGCTTTTTGTCTCTTTTTTTTTTGTTGTTGTTTTACTATTTTTGTTTAAAAAAAATTACCGCTGATTCGACCTTGATATATTTGAATCCAACTACTGTGAACATGATCCAAAGGAAGTGAATAACACAAATCTTTCATAAGCACACCAGAAACTTCATAATACAAACCACAAACACAGTAAAAAAAACCAAAAAAAACATACTAGAAACCTCTCAATGCATACTACAATTTCCCTAAAACAAACCAGAAACACCACAAACCAAACCACAAATATTTTGAAAGCACACCAGAAAACTCATAATGCAAACCATAAACACCGTAAAGCAAACCACAAAAACAAACCAGAAACGTTCTAATGCAAACCAAAAATATATTAAAACAAACCAGAAACCTCACAAAGCAAACCACAGAATTTTCAAAAACACACCAGAAACCTCATAATGCAAACCACAAACACATTAAAGCAAACCACAAAAACAAACCAGAAACCTCCTAATGCATACCACAAATCTCCTAAAACAAACCACAAACCGCTCAATGCAAAACACAAACTTTTTGAAAGCAAACCAGAAACTTCTCAATACAAACCACAAACACGATAAAGCAAACCAGAAACTTCTTAATGCAAACCACAAACACGATAAAGCAAACCACAAAAGGCATACAAAAATGTGAGAAACCAAACCATAAATCTCACAATGAAGACCATAACATCCGGTGGTCGTTGACCGTTGACCGGTCAACGAAGTTCGTTGACCGAACTCCGATGACCGTCAGTAAGCAGATTCCGACGCCGATAGGCATATTCCGGCCCCGATGACTAGATTCCGACGCCGGTAAGCATATTCCGACCACGGTGAGCATATTCCGATGCCGGTAAGCATATTCCGGCGAAAAATAGCATATTCCGGTGACCGGCGACCAGATTCCGGCGACCGATGGCCGAATTCCGGCGACCAAAATTTTGGTCCGAAAATAAAAAAAATATTTTTTATTTTTCATTTTTTTTATTTTTTTTTATTTTTTAAATATATTTTTCATAATGACAATTATACCCCTGCTTTGATTTTACACTAGGTCAACTCATCTAATAAAAAGTCATCACAATCCTAGCTTCCTATTGGTTGGAGACTAGTGTTGTTACAATAATAACAAATATGGTGTTGTCACCATATCTTCTCCCGCAAATTCCAACTTATGGAGCAGAACTGTTCGGGTTGCTCTGAAGAGCAAGAACAAGTTGGGTTTCATTACTGGGTCCATACCTGTTCCAGATCCAACGGATGCAAATTATCAAGCCTGGGAACAAAGCAATATGCTGTCTACTTCCTTATTCTAGGGTCCCTTGACCCAAGCCTGGTGAACAATGTCTCTTCTCAAGACAACGCTAAGATCCTCTGGGATGACCTAAGACAGCGTTATGGTCAAGCTGATAACATCAGAATCAGTGACCTACAGACAGCGGTTTATACCATAAAACAAGGTAACAAGTCTGTGAACCAATTTTACTCTGAGTTGAAGGGTTTCTGGGAAGAGTTAATCCAGTTTATGCTAATCCCTAGTTGTGAATGTGGAGGAGAACATAGGGATAGGAATATACCTTGTGTTACTGAGACCACGGTGAGGAAATACAGAGAGAATGATTTTGTGACTCGATTCATAACTGGTTTGAATGAGACATATGGGGGGTGTTAAGACCAATCTGTTGATGATGGTCCCCTTACCAACCATGGAGACAACATTTCATTATGCTATCCAGCATGAAAGACAAGTCTCTAGATCAGGTGAGGAGTCTCAAGTCGATTTTGTGGCTCTCTTGACTAACAACCAGACTAGAGGTAAAGAGAATGTTAAGGGAGCACATGACACCTTGTTCTGCAGATACTGTAAGAAGGATAACCATGTTATCTCTGATTGCTACAAAATAAAAAAGAAGAACAAGGAGACAGGTTCCTCATCTGGATTTGCAGGACAGTTACAAGAGTTGAGGTTCTAGGAGGGGGTATTCTTTCAAAACCAGAAACCAGGGCCTTGTCTGAGTCAGTTGATGGCTTCACTAGTATCAGGCTTTCAAATTATGACATTGGCAGACTTCAGAAGATCATCACTCAGTTTGGATCACCCAGATCTCCCACCTCACCCGGGTCTCCTGGAACAACCATTGATGGACCACATCAAGCACAACAACCAATGGTTAACTCTGTAAGCAAGCATCTGTCTGTGAATCCAAATTTTGTAGGTAAATACACACTTTCTTCATGTTACCAGCGACATCTATTGGAATTAATTAATGTGTGGTTCCTAGATACTGGTGCAACAGATCATGTTTATTGCTCATTGTTTAGTTTCATTAGGCACAAACCTGTTCAGAATGTGTTTATTACCTTACCTAATGGTTCAAAGACACCTGCTACACATTCTGGCAATGTTAGATTAACACCAAATCTTGTTATTCATGGTGTTTTGTTTGTCCCAACCTTCTCTTTTAACCTTATCTCAGCCAGTAAACTCACTCAGTCTTTACCTATCACTCACTTTTAAATCAACCATTTGTCATATCCATGACATTCTAACCAAGAAGATGATTGGTTTTGCCCAAGAGACTAGAGGCCTTTATCAACTCACACCAGATACCACAGAAGACCATTTCATTCATGTTAATTCCCTCAAGATTCACAACTTTACACCACAGTCTTTTGATTTATGGCATTGACGACTTGGGCATCCCTCTGAGCATAAGACTAAAGAATTGAACAAAATTGTACCTAGTATAGATGTTGTATCGTTTAGCCATTGTGGAGTTTGTCCCCTTTCAAACAAAAATGCCTTCCTTTTCCTTCAAGCCAGTTTGTGGCAAAGAGTGTTTTTGAACTCATTCATGTTGATATATGGGGCCCCCTTGCTGTTTCCAGTTACAATGGCTTTCAATACTTTCTTACCATTGTAAATGACAAGTCTAGGTGTGTTTGGACATATATGATAAAATTCAAGAGTGAAGCCAGAAAGTTGTTACAAGATTTTTGTGTTATGATCCAAACACAGTTTGATAAGAAAGTTAAAGTAGTTAGATCAGATTAGGATGCAGAATTTCACATACCTGAATTTTATTCCCAACATGGGATCATTCACCAAATGTCATGTGTTGAAACACCCCAGCAAAATGCCCGAGTGGAAAGAAAGTATCAACATATTCTGAATGTAGCTAGGGCCTTAAAGTTTCAATCTAGACTTCCTCTCAAATCTGGTCCGATTTTATTCAACATGTTGTCTTTCTCATTAATAGGCTGCCTACTGTTGTCATTGCCAATAAGATACCTTATGAGATTTTATATGGGCATCCACCAGATTTATCTGACCTAAGGGTTTTTGGGTGTTTGTGCTATGCTTTTGGGGCATAACATAACCAAGTTCTTATCTAGTGCCAAACAGTGTGTGTTTTTGGGTTATCCAATGGGTGTTAAGGGATATAAACTGTTTGATTTACAAGACCAGAAGGTATTCCTCTCTAGGGATGTTATTTTTCATGAGTTTATCATTCCTTGACTATCTAAGTCATCTGATCCACCTTCATCAGATATCCCTACCATTCTCATGTTTCCCCCTCCTACTACACCTTTTCCCTTTCCTGAACCAGATGCCACACCTGAACCTGAACCAAATGTCCAAACCTCAATCACCAGTATCACCCTTACCATCTTCACCTTCCTCACCACCCATAACTACTGCTCAAATAGAACTAGTTTCTTCTTCTCCTTCCTCTTTTTCTCCTATTCCAGTTCCACCTTCTCCCTCTTCATCCTCTCAGCCAACTGCTCTCAGAAAGGCACCTCGTATTCCTGTCAAGCCTGTCAAATATAATGATTATGTAATGCACCTAGGAACCACTAACTCAAAAGTTTTATATCCAATGGTTGCTTGCTTGTCATATGAACAACTGTCAAACAGTTACAGAAAGTATGTTTTGGCAGTGTAGTCCACTATTATCCCTAGTTCCTTTGAAGAGGCCGTTAAAGAAGAATATTGAAGAATAACTATGGATTTAGAATTGGAAGCACTAGAAGCTAACCACACCTGGGATTTAGTTCCCAGGCCTTCTCATCAGAAGGTTATTCATAATAGATGTGTACAACATCAAGTTCTAGGCAGATGGTACCATTGAGAGGTACAAAGCCAGATTAGTGATTCCTAGGTGCATTACTGAAGGTAGGGGTGGGCATTGGGTGGGTCGGGTGGATTTTGACCATAAAATGCACCCACCCGCGCTTAAGCGGATTGATAATTTTTAACCCACCACCCACCCACATTTAGTCTCGGGTTGGGTCGGGCGGATGGTGGATGATTTGGGTGGATTTGTGGATTCACCCACATCACAATGTATATAATATAAAGGAGTCAACTTGACATGATAATAGGCGAAGAGAGTTATATGGGGAAACAAGAAGATGAAATAGGGCGAAAAATATCGAATTAGTTCTTAAAATGGATAGAAGTTCTATTATGAAAGAGTTTTCTATAGTTTGATATGATTATCAGGTGCAAGGAACTAAGAAAAATAATTCTACAAAGGAAAGAGCAGT